CCTCCGGACTCAGGATACCAAGCAATCATTCTGAAAATCTCTCTGTGCCTCACCGGTAGTGATGGGCAGATGAAGCTTCATGAAGCACTGAAGCTTTTCATCCAATTGGTTCACTCCAGTGCAAACCTTCTTGAAGCTTCATTTGCTCTAGTAGGACACCTACTGGACGTAAAAATATTAGTTGGCATGAATTTGAAGAGTGTGGCCTTTTGCACACAGCCTGTAAATGTCAACAACAAAAGGAGTGTGTAAAACATGTATATTGTAGTGATGCAGTATACTGTGTATATTTATACTGGAAGTATGGAAAATGATTATTTGGAAATGCTTAAAATGGAAATGATCATTTACTGTGAGGTGAGGTGTGGTTGGGTTGTGGACAGTGGTTGTGCTTTTGTAACGTTGAGGTATGGACAGCTACACACTGAGGCTTTGAGCCTCAGTCCTGCCTGTTCACATTTTATTCTGTAAAAACTAAATTTTCACTGCTTTTATAACCTTTAGTGGGGAGAACGTAGCTAGGATTTAATGATTTAACACATCTTTTGAATCCTTTGTCCTCCACAATGCTAAATGGCTGTGAGTCCTCAATCACCATGCTGACCAGGTCTTCATCTATTTGAGATTGTTCTCCTGAGGAAAGACAATAAAGACAAAGCACAAGTATAAATATCACGCGTAACTTATTACAGCTGTATAATATTGTTATATCATTTAGTAACATTACTGCATGCTGTATTATCATTGCATTTGATGGCTCACCTGGTCTTGCTCCACAATCGGTGTTCCCCTTATTCTCATGCATAGCTCTGTAGTGCCTAAGCATGGATGAGGTGTTGTTGTTATATCCCAGCTCCCTGGCACAGAGCAAACACTTCACCTTGTACAAAAGTACAGACAGCTTAACATAGGTTTTATTGCACCATCAGTATTATGAAAATACATCTTCTGTGGAACTTTACATACCTTGTTGGGAGATATAAGCTCAAAATGTTCCCACCCAGGGGAGGACATCCTTCTCTTCGTAGCTGGCTCCATTCTCTCCTGACTTTCTCTCCTCACTCTCCTAAACCTCCAACCTCTCTCCAAACTGTCTGTAACTCTCACTAACCGCAACTCTCCATCAAACACCCGCATTTTGAATGAAGTCTGGGGGGTTTATATCGCTGTCATATCTCGCAGCAAAGTTCGAACCGCTTCCTGAACCAGTCACGTGGTACAGCCGGGCAGCGAGGCTTCGGACGTCATCATTTCCAGCTCCTCCATAAATGAAGCAAGCCTCGATACGCGCTTCGCGGAAACGCCCCCTCCATTACTCGACACAGGCTTTGAAGCCTCGATACAGAACGTCACATCACTACTCACCTGCCTGCCCTTCTCCATCTGAAGCCCCGGATCTCAGGCCAGCCTTTCCACGCCACTCAGCCTCCCCTGGATTCTCATCACCCCCCTCTCAACACTCCATGTCCCCTACTGCAAGTAAGAATTGCTACTCTTACAACTGGCCACTTCAGAGCTGCCTCCACTACCTCCCTAACTCCTCTATCTTCTCTCTTCAGTGTGACTGTTCCCTGCTCAGCTCCACTCCGCATCTCAGGCCTCATTCCCTCGCCCTAGCCACGTTCCCCAGGCCACGCCTCGTCAAACTCCACGTCTTATTGGGGTTTTTTTTGTCTTTGCAACGTTTTCTTTTTTGCACTTAAACCTAATAAATTGTTACATCATCTGCTGTCTCTGCTTTGGGTTTCTGCACCTGAGTCCTGTTCGGTACAGGCCACTCGGCCCCGTGACACCTAAGCATCCCAGAAAAGACACAGAAAGTCATAAAGTCAAACATAACTTTTAAAATCACCAGTATAGGCTCATGAGGCCCTGATGGTAAAAAAAACTACATTTCCGCAAAATGACGTCACTTCTGGTTTCGTGCAGGTCATGGCGGACATGAGATAGTTCGTGCTGATGGATGTAGGAAGTGTTACAAACAGCTGATCGGATCGGCAAAGCGTGTTTCTGGAATATTATGTTTTTGTTGCTGCAAGTGCTTTTTATGCAGTTTTGCAAAGCTTTATGTGGAAGGAAACCGTGACCTAGGACAAGCTGATGGCATAAGATGTAAGCACAACTCCTCTGGTTTTAAAAACAGTTACGCAAAACGGAGCATGCTGCAGTAATTTATAAGCACATTTAATTTGGGAGCCTCTTTTAATCTGAACATGATTGTTTCAGATTTGATAATCATGTTTATGATGTTTTCTACCTTTGTTTTTCTTTTTTAGCATGGAAGATGTAAGATTTTCCTTAAACAAAAGTTGATGCCACAACAGAATTCAAGTTGTGTCTGGACAGAGAAGATCTTCCAGACAGAGGCCTTCTCCAGTAGTAGAGAAAATAAAAGCTGCATCTGCTACCAGTGTTTGTTTGTTTTTTGTTTCCTTTTATATGATTTGGTGTGTCAAGATGGCTTGCCGTCAGCTGTTACCTGTTTTGTTTGTGGTAGCTTTGTTTACATGTAATTTCTTCAAAAATGTCTCTACTCTTCTGGTGTATGACTTCCATTGTTCCTCTGCTGTGATCCACCTTTCTCCAGGAGGAAATGCCACAGAAGGCAAGGGAAACAGGGCGGCGTGTTGGTAAAATTCAAAAATTGCATGACCGCCCGGGCTCTTTGGGGCTCCAATGAGCTGTCGCATTTTCTTAAATAAGTCTTCACAAAAGGTTAAGAAAATTAACAGCTACCCACCATCATAAATCAAGGGTAAACCTGATTCCTAAACCTAAGAAATGTCAAAGATGACTACTAAAGATGACTAAAGATGTTTGCTCTTATTTTAGCCCATGGAATAAAGATGGTTACTAGTTCTAGATATTTTGGATTATCCAGAACTAATAAATAGGGGTGAGTTTTTGAAAAATGAATTTTCAGGTGGTTCGGTGGTTAGCACTGTTGCCTCACACACTCACAGCAAGAATGTCCTGATTTCCTCCGTCAGGGTCTTTCTGTGTGGAGTTGGGGTCTCTACAGGTACTTCAGCTTCCTCCCAACAGTTGAAAGACATTCAGTTAGTGGGACTAGGTAATTGGAAACTCTGGTGTGAATGGTTGTCTATGTGTTAGCTCTGCGACAGACTGGAACTGTACAGGGTGTACTCTGCCTCTTCCCCTAAGACAGCTGGGATAGGCTCCAGCCCCCCTGTCACCCTGAAGAGGATGGACGGAAATCGATTTTAGCTTGAAAACGAAATTTTTGCCAGAAACTTGAGAATCTCACCTTAAAGCTCACAAAATTATTTCCACACCACCACCACCACAAACAGCAAATGAAAGGAGGTAACTGGATTCTGCACACATGTAAACATAAAGTGCGTATTGGTCACCTAACCTAACGCCATGGACACGCCGTCGGGGCTGAAAGCCGACATCTCACAGATTCTGATGCTGCAGGTTTTGTAACTCTTTGACCAAAATTTACTGAACCAGCAGCAAAAGAAGATGAAAACTCCACTTCACATTTGATAAACATCAGCATTAATTTGCTCTATTTGCTTACTTATTGCCGCTCAGTTAAAAGTCTGAAATTCAAACAAATGTCAAATGTCTCATTTTTCCACCAAATCATTACATGGAAGTTTTTTAACACTGGAAGGGAAAGTGAAGGAAGTCAGTTTTTAAAGTTTCATGTCACTTGCTCACCATATCTCCTCTTATCACCACTCATTAGAAACATTTATTTATTTGAAGATGCAGTTAGCTGCTGACACGCTGATGATGCTCAGTAAATCTGATCTTTGTATCTTTTTTTTTCGGGATTTATTTGACAGGGACAGTGTTCATGTTCATGGACATCAGGATAAAAACAGAAGATGGAAACCTGCCAGATTTGAGCTAAACTGCTCATTTCCATTACCACAGAGGATCCACCTGTGCTTCCTCTCCTCGCTCCTCCACCTGTTACAGAGAGGGAACGTCCTCCATGATGGAGGAGCTGCTGAAAAGTTCTGAGTTTCCTCCAGAGTGAGACCTCTGTCACAGTTAAGAGGATCTACGGCAGCAGAGACCTTCATGGACACTAAAAGTCTCAAACACACAACAACAACATCACACTGACTCCACTCTGACATCACTGATCAATATCAAAGAACACACAGATCAAACTAATTGATCAGCCATCAGAGGAGTCGGATCAATGGAGCTGCTTCTGTTCCTGATGTCCCCTGTTTGATCCTGGACCTGAACTCTCCCTGCAGAGGAGAAACAACACAGTCAGACAGGGAAATACAGACGTGAACATGAAGAGAGAGAGAGACAGACAGATACCTCTGACTTTCAGCAGCAAAGTTTTCACCCTGATCCAGACGTCCTTGCTGTTGATACCACACTCGTATCTCCCACTGTCCCATTCTGTGGGCTGTTTCAGGGTCAGACTGAGGTCTCCAGTTTTCAGCAGGTCTTCATTCATCTTTGTTCGGTCTCTGTAAACCTGGTGCTGTTTGTGAGGCTGGTCAGAGCCGTTCTCATACACGTGGACCTTGTTATTGATTTGGTCCTTCCAAACCACCGTAGCATCTTCAGGCAGGTTTTGTGTGGTTTTGAAGGGCAGCTGGACAGACTCCGCCCCCTCCTCCACCTCCACCTGACAGACTGAGAGGACAACGAACACAACATGAGCTGTACAAAGTGTGATTGTGATTCGTTACTGGTCAATATTAGAGCTACTACGTTCTTGTACGGAGGCCATTTTGGGCCTTACGTAACATCTGTTTTTAGTCTTGAATGTAGTTGAAACTTTTGTAATTTCCATTGTGATAAATAACAGTTAGAGAGTCATGCATTAAATGGAGCATCAAAGTAAAATTTTTTTGCATTGATGTCAGGGCAGTCTGTTCTTAGTGACATACAAGGAAAAAAGTAAACAATGGTTCAAACCTTTGGGTTTAAGCAGCAATGGTTTTGCTCTGAAAATGTCTCCATTCCTCCAAACTTCACAGATGAAAGCTCCACCGTCACAGTCCGTGGGATGTTTCAGGGTCAGACTGAGGTCTCCAGTTTTCAACAGGTCTTCATTCATCTTCGTTCGGTCTCTGTAAACCTGGTGCTGCTCTTTAAGCTGGTCAGAGCCATTCTGATACATGTGGACCATTCTGGATTTCCCGTCCTTCCAGACCACTATAGCATCTTCAAGCAGACCTGTGGTATTGAAGGGCAGCTGGAGAGAGTCCACCCCATCCTCCACCTCCACTTGGGGGACTGAGAGGACATCAAACACAAAATTAAAAGTGATAACCAGATAAGCTTTTCACTGTTATCCACTTTCTTGAATACAAATGTGGAATAAACTGCTGAACCACTCCAAAACATTCATTTAGAAACAAAGAGAGAAGACGTCACACATACAAGGATAATTTGGATTCTTTGGACAATCTTTGGACTCAGGCGCAGACTGAGAAAGCACGGTTCAAACATTTCTTTATTAATCACACTGTTGGTGTGCCTGTGGGATCACCAGGTACTTGTAGCTGTCCTCTATGTCTACGCTGTTGCCTTCACCCTGGGTCTACACACCTGAATCAAAGGATTAGTTCATTACCAGGCCTCTGGCGAACTGCAAGACATGTTGAGGAGGTAATTTAGCCATTTGAATCAGCTGTGTTGGATCATGGACACATCTAAAAACTGCAGGACACCGGCCCTCGAGGCCTGAAGTTGGCGACCCCTGCTCTCAAGGGTGGCTGGTTGCTCGGCTTAACCACGTGACTTCTGAGTTGGAGAAGGAAGTCCCGATTTGGCGTCCGCAATACCGTCACAGACCTGAGGCAGAGGAGGGTATGGCGGAGACCATAGAGGGCTTATTGAAGGTAAGGGTGTTAGCACCCTCAACCTCATGCTGGAACACTCCAATTTTGCCTGTAGAAAAGCAAGGCATGGGAAAGTATCATATGGCACATGATTTGAGGACCATTAATGATATGTTGACAACTAAAACTGTTCCTGTCGCTAATCCTTTCACGGCTCTTGAATTAAATTGAACATTGAATCATATCTGCTATTAATCTCATTCTCTCTTCCACAGCATGCCTTTATCCTGTTTTCTTTCTCTCACTCAAACCGGTCGCAACAGATGGCCCCACCCCTCCCTAATCCTGGTTCTGCCAGAGGTTTCTTCTTGTTAAAAGGGAGTTTTTCCTTCCCACTGTCGCCAAAGTGCTTGCTCGTAGAGGGTCATATGATTGCTGGGTTTTTCTTTGTATCTGTAATTGGTAAGAGTGATTAATCAGGCTGTGGGAGGTTCTGATGCCGGGGCAGACCACATGATGCCACTTTTGAGAACCAGGAAGGGTCAATCCACTGATATTATGTTTGATGACTTGCAGTAGTGTTGGTCTACCATGGGGGGAGACCAAAAGAGGAGATGTTGGAATGATCTTACCTGAAGTGCTTTATTACTGTGCCTTTTATTAATCTCATATTATTCAAAACTGCCATATGATCATATAGAAGTAGTGTTGAGTGGACACAACCCTGAATAATAAAGGCATTAGAATACGTGTCCTTCAGTCATAGACTCTCACCCATATTTGCCTGTAGAGCAGTAGATAAGAGGGAACCATCTTGTAGTCGATAGTTACTGAAATGCTGTTGTTTAGACTAGAATGGGGTGCCCGGGAATAAAACTGTCAGGTGCGCGTCACCATTTTGAGATCTGCAGCAACGTGTCATGCAGGACGCATCTCCCTTCTAGAAGTAATGTTAAAAAAAAAATAAAGTGTTAAATGGTCTACTGAGCAGTGTTTTGCCTTCCATCGGATGCCTCTGAGGAATCAAAAGAACTCGGTGAAGTGTTGATATTTGGAGTGCTCAGAGTAGAGACGCTACTCCTCCACATCGAAAGGAGGAAATCACAAAAAGTTGGTCGTGTTCATCTGGACATAGGGTTTTCAGTGGGAGAAATGTTTTGTCAGTCATCCAAGTGTCTTCTCAGCTCACTGCAGTTCTCCCCATCGAGAGTACCTTTGCACAATGACTGAAACTAGCACCACTGAATGAACAATAGGCTGGGGGGGGGTCAGTTTTTGACCATTAATATGCAAATTGTCATGACCACTGATCTACGACCATTGATCAATGACTACTCATCAATGACCATGGGTTAAATGCAGAGGAACTATTTCCCTATGGGGACTAACACACACACACACTATTCACAGAGATTTGGGGATTGGCTGCAATCACAGCATTGAAAGATGTACCATTGGGATGTTACATCTCTCTCCACTTGTGTTCCAATTACTGAAGCGTTGGAGGTAGTTCATAAAAGATTACAGGACGACCCCAATACCATCAACAGAATCACTCTCATTACTAACCAAGTGTGTTTGCTCTTGGAACTGTCTTAATTCCACCTATTTCACATACAAGGGTCAGTACTACTGGCAGAAACATGGGTATACCATGGGTTCTTCATTTTCATCCATTGTGTCCAACTTGTGGAAGAAGTGGAAAAGGGGGGTTTATTATGCTGCCCTGGAACAACACCAAGTGATTAGTTGAGGTACGTGAATAACATCTAGGTAAAATCTAAACCTGAGGATGTACCACAATTCACTGATTATATTAACCTGGTGGACCTACACAAATTCACCAGGGAGGATATGAAAAGTAGCAGGTTAGCCTTCTTAGACTGTGAGATGTCCATCAGTAATGGGGGACATTTAAAAGTTGATATGTACCATAAACCACCACATATGGTTCATTGTATAAGGTTTGACTCTCATCACCCAGTGGAGCACAAACTGGATGTCATCAGGATGGCGCCCACACAAACACAAAGCAGGAGATGAAGCATCGCTGAATATGTTTCCAAACCAACTTCCTTCCAACCCGAAGACAGAAAAATATGGTGAAGCATGTGATGAATAGCATGCTGACTCAATCATTTCTGCATGTTTCCTCATGTTACAGAGGAGGAGAAGATCCAAAGAGGAGGCAGGGGGAGAGGCTCAGGAACAGTTAGGATCAGAGACTTTGAGCCATCATGGACTCCCACTGTGGGGACTCTTAGTCATGGTCTGTTCAATTAAACGTACAGTTGCTCCCCCTAAAAGTTTTGGCTTTTAGACAACGGCATCAAAGAATTTATATTATTTGAATGAACTGAAAAAAGATTCAAACTTAAAATGTTTAGAGAATAAACTCTTACATGACCTCTGACCTTTGACCTGTATCTACAGCACTGACCTCTGACTTTCAGCTCCACTTGTTTCTTCAGCAGGATATTTCCCTCCCTGCTGTAGACGGTGCAGGTGTAGCTGTCTGTATTCCAGCCTGTGGGATATTTCAGGGTCAGACTGAGGTCTCCAGTTTTCAGCAGGTCTTCATTCATCTTCGTTTGGTCTCTATAAACCTGGTGCTGTTCTTCAGGCTGGTCAGAGCCGTTATGATAAACATAGACCATCCTGCTGCCTCTGTCCATCCACTCCACTTTAGCATCGTCAGGCAGGTGAAGTGTGGTATTGAAGGGCAGCTGGACAGACTCCACCCCTGAATCCACCACTACCCGGGTGACTGAGAGGACAACAAAGCACAACATGAGCTTGGATGGAGACATTTGTGTTGACTCTAACAGGCTGAATGCTGCTGCTTCACTGGGAGCTCACTGTTAGATAGAAAGTGGTCAGTGCGAAGAGGAGACGCAGCAGGAAGAGGAAGACAGACAGGAAGAAAGCAGTGAACAGTAGGGATGGGTATCGTTTAGGTTTTATCCGATACCGGTGCCAAACCGGTACTTTTGAAACGGTACCGGTGCTTAAACGGTGCTCAAACTGGTGCTTAAAGAATGGTGAACACAAAATTGGTCCAAAAACCTCTCATGTTCAGCTGTTTTTTTGTAAAAAGATAACAATGTTAGCCTTTTCTGCAGCTATGGGGCATATATGGCATCACTCTTGGCTGGAAGCAGTGCTTAAACAATGCAAAAAACACAAACCAAAAACCTCTCATGTTTAACTGTTTTCCACTTTTTCTTTGGTCATTTTAGCCTTTTTGGCCAGGGAGAAGGGAGTATCTGCCATCAAACAAGAAGACAGACGCATGTACTGTAACTACGACGGTGTTTGCTAGTTCACCTTACATGCATTAATGTAATAACGTGGTTAGCCTACTCAACGTAAATTACACACGAACAACATTAAGCTACTCACGCGGAGAAGAACGGCTGCTGCTGCATCATCATCCATCATCATTTCTGCTACACTGGCAGGGCTAGGGGCCAGGACTCTCCTCTTCGGGTTTTTGGGGGATGTTGCTAACTCCAGGTCCGATAACAGGCACCACACCCGCAGTAGATGTGCACGGTGTGAGGTCTCGCAACAAGCTATCAAATACGGCGCATTTCTCGGCTTTTAGAAAGAACGCTATGCGTCGCCAGGTGTTTCATCGGATTTGAGGTGTTACCTCCTTTGACAGTATCACAATATCAGCTTAAAGCACTTGTTGCAGGCTGCTGAGTTTGAATATTTTGCTGTGAAGTACAGCCAGACTTTTGACCGCTTTGCCTTGGGCATTTTAATCTGTAGCTCTGCTCTAAAAGAATGTACGTACCTGGGCCCGCCTACTATCCTCGGAAACGTAAAATGATTGGCTAGAATCTAAAGTGTATCACAGCTCAGGAAAAAAAGCACCGAAATGTGCGCTGCTTTTCGGTCTGGTTACTACCATTTATGTCAGAACCGGTGCGATACCGGTACCCATCCCTAGTGAACAGACTGTTGGAGCTGCTGTTAGTGGGACAGGACTTTATTCAGTCTCTGAGGGCCAGATTTGACTTGATGAAGCAGAGAAACAAAGTCTGAGTGTTTCTATCACCAGAGATGGGCAGTAACACGTTACTTGTAACTTTACTTTTTGTAACTTTACATTACTTTTTTCCAAGTAATGAGTAAAGTAAGGGATTACAATTGTAAAAGAGTAATTAGATTATACTTACTTTCCCGTAAGCACGCTGCGTTACTGCATTACTAAACTATGATTTTGTTTTTGAGAGTGTCTCCTGACAATGACGCAAGCGGGTGCGACGGCTGTGGTAGCACGTCTGTAAATCAACAATAGAAAACATGGAGCGAGGGATAGAGTTCAATCGTGCAGCATTAGATACTTGGAAATACCGACATTGCTTTCAATTTGACTCTTTAAAGAGCGACAAAAACATAAGCGTTCATTGCACACTCTGCATCGGAAGAAAACTTCTTTCTACATCGAAAAATTCCACTTCCAACCTGAGCAAGCACCTAGCACACTGCCACAAGAATGTTAAATTAACAGAAAACCCCCAGGATCCCCCCACTGACATGACCGCTGTGGCTACCACATCTACTTCCACTGGGCAAACCTCAGATGAACCCACTCCTACTAAACAGGTTAAACTAGACGTAAGAGCGACAGGACTTAGTGTCGCTGAACTGAAGAAGCTCATCGCTGCCTATATTGTCGAGGACATGTTGCCAATTTCCACTGTAGACTCTGAATCATTCCGATGCATCGTAGAAAAAATACCAACTAAAAGTGATGTCAAGCTGCCCCAGAGAAAGTCATTTGTAGGATACCTTGAGAGAGAATATGATAAAATGAACTCTAACTTGAAGGCTACACTCGAAGAGGTAGAGTTTGTTTCCACCACTGCTGACATCTGGACAGTAAATAATAAACGTTTTATGGGTTCACTGGATTAATTCCACATTACAACACAACAAGGCCGCCCTAGCATACAACAGAATTAGAGGCAGCCATACCTATGATGTAATTGGAGCAGAGATTGAAGAAATCCATTCATCATATGGACTACAAGGCAAAGTTATTGCCACTGTAACGGATAATGCATCCGATTTTGCCAAAGCATTCAGAGTATGTCAGCCCTGTCATTTGGAGTCTGAATCTGAAAATGAAGAAGGTAATGACGAGGAACTGACCTTTACTGATGTCAAGGAAGCTCTTTCAACCCCATGTGGTGATGCACAGTTTGGCCTCCCTCCACACTACAGATGTGCATCGCACACAATTAACTTGATTTTAACAAGCGATGTTGACAAGCATCTAAATTCCTATGGCGACACCAAGGCTGTATATAGGAGTAGCATTGCAAAATGTTCTGCTCTTTGGACTAAAGCAAGTCGATCAACATTAGCCTCTGAACAGGTAGAGGAAGTCAGCCGGAGGAAACTAATGGTACCGACATCCACAAGGTGGAATTCCCTGTATGAGGCCATTTCTAGAATCATCACAATTCCCTTGAATGATTTTAATCCCCTGTGTGTAAAGCTGGGAATCAAGTGACTTAATGAAAGGGAGTACCAGTTCTTGAAAGAGTACTGTACGGTGATGAAGCCCCTGACAGTGGCTCTCGACATCTTACAAGAGGATGAGTGCACCTATGGGGCTTTACTACCAACACTCACAAGCCTGAGGTCAAAGACGCTTGCCCTGACCTCTCTAGAATGACAGCCAACCTTCCAGATGTCATTGTAAAGGTAAGATTATTATTAATTGCTTTGGGTGGTTTTGTTAAATTTGTTATACCATTCAGAGTGGGTGGATGTTATACTTTGTTTTAAGCAGCGTGTAAAATTATTAAAATGATAGAATAAAAGACCAAGTATTTACCCCTTGTTAAATATCATAATAGTCGGCCTCATCACTGATGGGGACGACAAGGAGTACAGCTGACTGACTCAGGACTTTGTGGACTGGTGCCAGCTGAACTACCTCCAGATCAACGCCAGTAAAACCAAGAAGCTGGTGGTAGACTTCTGCAGGCACAAGCATCCTCCACTGCAACCACTGAACATCCAAGGTATCGGACATTGAGGCTGTGGACAGCTACAGGTACCTTGGTGTTCATCTGAACAACAAACTGGACTCATAATTCAGATGCCCTCTACAGGAAAGGGCAGAGCAGGCTGGACCTGCTGCGGAGACTCAGGTCGTTTGGAGTAGAGGGCCCACTCCTTCTATGACTCTGTGGTGGCTTCAGCCATCTTCTATGGTGTGGTCTGCTGGGGCGGCAGCATCTCTGCCGGGGACAGGAAGAGACTGAACAGGCTGATCAGAAGGGCCAGCTCTGTTCTAGGATGCCCTCTGGACCCAGTGGAGGTGGTGAGTGACAGGAGAATGGTGGCTAAGCTGTCATCCCTGTTGGACAACATCTCCCACCCCATGCAGGAGACTGTGACAGCACTGAGCAGCTCATTCAGTGGCTGCAGCACCCACGGTGTGGGACGGAGAGATTTTGCAGGTCTTTCCTCCCCACTGTTGTCAGACTCCACAACAAAGACTTTTGCAGCTGATCAAACCCTCACACGTGCAATAAGACTGCTATATGTGCAATTCTTGTACAATTCTTCTTCTGACGAAGTATTTTCTTACTCAGTTGTATATAGCATTTGTATTTCTATTTTATTCTATTGTATATATTATTTTATTCTATTCTATTTTATTCTAAGGTATATAGTATTTTATTTTATTTTATTGCATTCCAGTGTTTTCTAATTTCTGCTACATAACTTTGCACTTTTGCTGTAACAAAACAAATTTCCCACCTGTGGGACTAATAAAGGTCATCTTATCTTATCTTATCTTATCTTATATCAGGGATATTGATCATCATTAATCAAGAATATTAATCAAAATATCAACAAAAGCCTCAACCAAAATTAAATCTCATACAGTATTGATAATAGAAACATGTGCTAACACTTTTAGCAGGCTTAGAATCAGAATCAGAATCAGAATACTTTATTGATCCCTGGGGGAAATTATTTTTTGTTATTTTTTGTTCTTACATGCTAACCCTACTTTTTAACTCACTGAGACCTATCGAAACACTTCAGATTAATCAAAAACAAGTATTTCCCTCACGGAAGTCTTTAAATGTCCTTTACTTGTCATTAAACTTGCTAACCTTAGTGAACAGAGCATTAGATAGTCTGAAGCTCTGTGCGGTTCGCTTGTGAACTGTACATGCTGCTTTCAAGTGCAGAGCAACAAACTACAGTGGAATCCTGACTTGCGAATACCCCCATTTAATGAAAAATTCAACTTACGAAGGCACTTGAATGCAATATCTCTGCCTGCGTTACGGCAAAATGCCGGCGTAACGAAATCCACTGGCTCTGATTGGCTGAGCCCAGAATGCCCAGAATGCCTTCTGAATCATGTGACAACCCCTTAGCTTTTGTACTTGCGCTTCACTGTTCCACTTGAATGACGTATTGTTGTTGCAGTTAGTAATTAGCCTATAGCCTATTGTTCACTCAAAAGGCGTAATGGGTGCTTCGACTTACAAAAGACCCTCGGGAACGAATTAATTTTGTAAGTCAGGGTTCCACTGTATTTGAACTGATCTAACTTTATTAACACAGACAAAGATTTGTGGATCAGCTGCTGTTTGCTGCTATAGATATAATCCAGCTGATGTGGAGAACTACATGTGACACTGTGATGCAGCCATGAATCTGACTGATTTCTTTCCATTTTCAAAGGTTGATGCATCAGGTAAAGTCCTTAAAAAGCTCAGAAATAAAGAGAAAGGTTGGTTACAGCAAAGAGAGGCACTGGCAGCCTTTAAGACACTAAACAAGAGAAACAGATCAGAGAACATCAGACTGAATAAGTGGAATAAAGTGAAACAGAGAACTAACGCTCCCTAAGAATGGAGCTGTCATAGGAAGAGAGCAGCAAACTGAAAGTCTCTGTTAGCTGCAGAGCTCTGAAACTTCACACAGCTTTGGATGATAACATGGAGAAAGGATGTGGAGATATGACTGATTATAGATGAGGACCAATGAAGGTTTTTACTGAGATTAGCTTAGCCTGTGTTTCAGCCACATGCTAAACAAACACATGTTCAGAAACTAGAAGATGTTACCTTTCAGATGAAGTCTCACACATGAACTTTGCTCCTACAGTTCATCTGCTGAAGCTTTTACATTTGGCTGGAAATCAAATAAAAAACCAAAACAGCCACAAACATCAGACATGCTAACACTGTAACATTATTGGATGGAGCCACTGAGACTGAACCACCATCATGAGTCTGACCTCTGACCTTTGCCCTGTATCTACAGCACTGACCTCTGACAGTGAGATTCACTTCTTTCTTCATCAGGATGTTTCCCTCCCTGTTGTGGACGGTGCAGGTGTAGGTTTCTGTGTCTGTGGGGTGTTTCAGGGTCAGACTGAAGTCTCCAGGTTCCAGCAAGTTTCTCTTCATCTTTGTTCGGTTCTTGTATTTATCGTCCTGTTCTTCAGGCTGGTCAGAGCCATTCTCATACATGTGGACCTTCCTGTTGTTTGCATCCTTCCACTCCACTTTAGCATCTTTAGGCAGGCAAACTGTGGTTTTGCAGATCAGTTGGACAGACTCCACCTCTGAATTCACCCCCACCTTATAAACTGAGAGGACAACAAAGCACAACATGAGCTGTAGTGAAGTTACTAATGTTCTCCTTATGACCTGTTATAGTGGACTTATTCCTGTGCTTGTCCTGTTAGACCTCAATGTAGACCACAACATTTTACTGCAAACACTAGAACACACCAGAGTTATTAAAGGGAATTCACTGCAGTGATTTGAATCACATCTGATAGATTCCAGTTTGTTCATGTAAATGAGGAGTTTTCTTTGCACACAAAAATTATTCATACATTTATTTGATTACCATGCATATGCTATGCATTTGATTTTTATTTCTGATATCATTCAAATCAATCAGTTACAGGCATGTCTTAAGAAGATAAAGGCCTGGAGGACATCTAATTTCCTTCTTCCAAATTCTTTACATACTTGACCTTTATGTGAAATTAAACCCTACTGATTTATTTTTCACTAACATGTCCATATTGGTATTTTTGCAAATATCAGTGACCAATGTGTGATTGCTGATATCTGGCAGAACCACTAACCTGTATTTTTAATGTAAGCGTTTAAACAGTGAAATCCCTGAAATATGGAAATCTGTGTATTTTCCTTTGCTGAATGGAGGTGATAATTCAGATGTTACCAACTACCAGTGTTGGGCGAGCTACTTTGAAAACGTAACTAATTATAGTTACTAGTTACCTCTTCAAAAACAGTAACTGAGTTAGTAACTGAGTTACAATATTCTAAAAGTAATTAATTACTTGAAAAGTAACTATTGTGTTACTTTAAAAAAATGTTTAACCCTCTGTGTCCAGGGTATAATTGGCCATTTTTGACTACTTTTGATGTGACCTCTTCATTTCACCCTTAAAAACTATTTACTTTGCCTTGTTTGGTATCATCCTTTTCAACACAACCTCACATGCCTGAATTTACAGTCAGGTTTTCATTTAGATATACTGTATTAACACAGTTGATCTAAAATAAAAAAAAAATTAAAATCAGAGTAGAAAAAGTTATATTTTTTACTGTAACAACCACAAACATGTTTAATGAATCCTATTTCATAACTTTAAATGCAAATATAAATTGTCAGTTTTAAAATCATATGTACAAATTTTGCAAACAACAGTTATTTGCAGCCATTAACCTTTTACCCCTTTTTTAAATAACCATTTCAAACTATTTACAGAACAATCAGCTGTTCTGCATTCAATAAGATGCCACAAATTATCTGTGCCACTCCAAAAAATAATAATTTCTGTCCACTATAAAGGAGAACATCACAGCCTGATACCTGTTGACATGGTGCATTTTCCTCCCCCTATATTGTTTAACACGAATCTGGTTTCACGTGGCCTATCTACGGTGGCCCCTAGAGACAACTCATGTACAAACTCCAAAACACTTGCAAACTCCAAAACACATGCAAACTCCAAAACACAACGGAAGTGCTCCCGGACGCTAGGGGCAGTGTTGAGCTCGATTTACAAAATAAACGGCAAGTTTGTCTGTATGGGACTGTCTAGTCTCTGTCGAGCTTCCCAGGTTGCCTAGCAACCATGATACTAACCGCTGGAAACGTGTCATACAACTTGGTTTGACAGAAATGAAGGAGAACATATTTTGTTCATTTGTTTGTTTCTACAAGAGCTTTGTGTGATTTGATAAGTATCTGAGGCTGAGACCACAGGACAGCAAAACATGATTTTTGGGCTTGATTTCTGTGCTGAACAGTCATTTAAGATTAGCTAGTAAATAAGAATTAGCTGATGTTGTTCATGAGACTAAAGTCATATCACTTTGGTAATGTAAATATAATATGGCCAATATTATAGTTATTATATTAATCATTATTAGCTATTACAGCAGTGAACATGAACTCTGTGTCAAATACTGAGCCCAGTACAGATTCAAGTTGCAGTTATTTATATGTCCTATCACCTTAAATCTTCACTCAAAGACAAGTATCTTTGACAGTGCATATATAGGTGTATCATATACTGTATAAGAGACAAATGTTGTTCCTTCAGTATGTTAGCATTACTAAATTTGGCTCATTGCTTACATATATTTATAAAAAGAAAATGTACAAGCTGTGATAACTATTTCTGATAGAATGAAGAGTAGACTGATATATGAAATATTTCTTTATTGGGTGAGAAAATCAGACCATGTCATAACTGCTTTAAGTCATACAGAATAGATAGCAGAGCCTTAAACAGGCTGACGTCTGCTAAATGGGTCAAACTGGGCAGAAAGTCTACAAACACATAACATCCTTATAGAATATGATGTAACACTATAGATCAACTTAGCTCAGAATATATAAAGCATATAAACAGTTACAGCAATATGATGCAACACACACAGCAGTGCTACTGATCCAAAATCCTCAAAGCTTCATAGAACTGTAACAAACATTTATTTTTAGCTCCATTCTGCTGCTGATACATACTTTAGGTTTCTGAACATTACACTTGTTGCTGCCTTTCATAGTGTGTAACTTGAAGGCCCTGAGTACTTTCTCCCACACTGAAAACACTGGAATGATCACATTATTTGAACATTACCTAATAAGACTGATTCAGGACAGACAATTAGTTATGTTAAACTTTCCTAGCAGTCCTTCACAAACAGGGAACAGTCTGTCTATTCTCTCCATCTGTCAGCTGCTGCTGGCTCTTCCTCCTCCTCTTCCTCACACACTGCTGAGTTTGTCCTGGTGGATCATCAGGGCTGCAAAGCCTCATAGATGATATGCAGCAGTGGGTCCCTCAGTCTGTCCTCACTCTGGACACTTGCAGTCGTCACACATGGAAATCAAATGTGTGATAAGCTGCAGGATTCAAACAAGTGTAACTTATAAACACATGTTCAGACTTTTATTCCACAATCAGAAAGAAAAAGAGAGAGAGTGCAGGACAGACAGACAGGTGACAGTCTCAGGTGTACACACTGCTACAAACAAGAGGATTTAGTGTTTGTGTTATTACGAGTGCTAAACAAGAAGAGTTCCAGATGGTGCAGTGGACACATGTGTGACTGCTGTGATTAAAGCATCTTTCTTTCAGCTTAACGAGTGAACCGTCAGCTCGTTCAAACACACGTTAAAGTCCGTTTGGCTCGACACCACCGAACAGAGGCAGCAATATAACATAGCTAACATTAACAGTGCAGTGAATCCTGCTGGTGCCGTGATATTCAGGACTGCAAACAGAGCAGCATCACTGACTTTCAGCTTGTTGTGTTTGTGGATATATGACTGACTTTAATTATCCATAAAATCATCAGATTCTCTGTAAGATTATGGTCGACTATTCAACGGCGTATAAAGGCTTTAAAACAAAGTAAACGCTGAAAGTTCAAACATCGCTAATGTCACATAACTTTGCCGGCATGTGGCCAACAGTAATGTTTTAATGTTTCTCATTATTAAACATTTGCACATAAATAAGTGACATAACATTCAGTACTTACTTTTGAAAGTTTACTCTTTGGCTGCTCCGCTTCCACTTCTTTGAAGTGTCTCCCAGTCCCAGTGCACTTGTTAGCATGTTTTGGTTCATGCAACTGGTCCGTCCGCTTATTGTCTCCCCAGAAACATTTCCGTTGTGTTGTGTGTGCTTTTGCAGCGTTTTTCTTTTTGCAGCATTTTTCTTTTTGCAGCGTTTTTCTTTTTGCAGCGTTTTTCTTTTTGCAGCGTTTTTCTTTTTGCAGCATTTTTTCTTTTTGCAGCATTTTTCTTTTTGCAGCGTTTTTCTTTTTGCAGCGTTTTTCTTTTCGCAGCGTTTTTCTTTTTGCAGCATTTTTCTTTTTGCAGCATTTTTCTTTTTGCAGGTGCTTTTCTTTTTGCAGCGTTTTTCTTTTTGCAGCGTTTTTCTTTTCGCAGCATTTTTCTTTTCGAAGCATTTTTCTTTTTGCAGCATTTTTCTTTTTGAACCATTTTTCTTTTTGCAGCATTTTTCTTTTTGCAGCATTTTTCTTTTTGCAGCATTTTTCTTTTTGCAGGTGCTTTTCTTTTTGCAGCGTTTTTCTTTTTGCAGCGTTTTTCTTTTCGCAGCATTTTTCTTTTCGCAGCATTTTTCTTTTTGCAGCATTTTTCTTTTGCAGCGTTTTTCTTTTTGCAGCGTTTTTCTTTTCGCAGCATTTTTCTTTTTGCAGCATTTTTCTTTTTGCAGCGTTTTTCTTTTGCAGCGTTTTTCTTTTTGCAGCATTTTTCTTTTTGCAGCGTTTTTCTTTTTGCAGCATTTTTCTTTTTGCAGCATTTTTCTTTTTGCAGCGTTTTTCTTTTTGCAGCGTTTTTCTTTTCGCAGCGTTTTTCTTTTCGCAGCATTTTTCTTTTTGCAGCATTTTTCTTTTGCAGCGTTTTTCTTTTTGCAGCGTTTTTCTTTTCGCAGCATTTTTCTTTTGCAGCATTTTTCTTTTTGCAGCATTTTTCTTTTTGCAGCGTTTTTCTTTTTGCAGCGTTTTTCTTTTTGCAGCATTTTTCTTTTTGCAGGTGTTTTTCTTTTGCAGCGTTTTTCTTTTTGCAGCATTTTTCTTTTTGCAGCGTTTTTCTTTTTGCAGCGTTTTTCTTTTTGCAGCGTTTTTCTTTTCGCAGCATTTTTCTTTTTGCAGCATTTTTCTTTTCGCAGCGTTTTTCTTTTTGCAGCGTTTTTCTTTTTGCAGGTGTTTTTCTTTTTGCAGGTGTTTTTCTTTTTGCAGCATTTTTCTTTTTGCAGCGTTTTGCAGCATTTTTCTTTTTGCAGCGTTTTTCTTTTTGCAGCGTTTTTCTTTTTGCAGCGTTTTTCTTTTTGCAGCATTTTTCTTTTTGCAAGCGTTTTTCTTTTTGCAAGCGTTTTTCTTTTTGCAGCATTTTTCTTTTTGCAGCATTTTTCTTTTTGCAGCGTTTTTCGTTTTGCAGCATTTTTCTTTTTGCAAGTGTTTTCTGAAGTTGCAGTCCGTTTGGCCTCTCAGGGCCACTGTAAAAAAAAAGGCTTTAGGATATAAGGTTTCCTGGAATAAAATTGTCAGAAACGAGAGAACAGCTCTTTTGGTCAGTGTTCTTGTTTTGGTCTGTTATTGCACACAACTCATACATTTGTGTTCACTGGTCTGTACAGAATATAGTATTTAAACATTCTGAATGAATATTGGTTCTTTACTTGTTATATTGTTATTAGTGGTATTTGTTGTAACATCTTCTGCCCCTGCTGGTCTCTCTTGGAAATATGAGAAACGAGTCTTTTGTCTGGATTAACTGCAAATAATGAAAGAACAGCTTGTCCACATGCAGCCTCTGTGTCAGATCAATGCAGTGAAGCACACACACTGTTTAGTAAAGTCATGTTGTGGAGCTGTTTCACTGATCAGTGACTGAGTCTGAAGGAGGTTTTCTGACTTCTGGAACAAACCTGGAAGTTTCTCTTCAGCTCTCTGTATCAGCTGTTTGTAACTCTCAACTCTTTCAGCTTCTGGAGCAAGTTTGTGTGAGCTTTACTTGTGTATAGTACGGGACACTCACCTGATTTATAATATTGACGGAAATAACATATGAGACTTCCAGAAACCAAAAGAAAAATCAGCAGAATCAGGAGAGCTTTGGCCCAGGATGGAAACCGTTCTGTGAAGTTCAGAAAAACATGACCTTTGACCTCTGACTGAATGTGGTGATATATTTTATTGAACATACCTCAAGCTAATATTTTTTGAGTGAACATATTTATGCAGCAATAAAATAGTAAAGTTTTATCTGAGTGATGTCAGATGTATCTACAGCAGATGTTTGTTGCTGACCTTTGACCTGCAGCTGTACATCACTCCGACTCAGCTCATCTCCAAAGTCTCTGACGGAGCAGGTGTAGGTGGCGCTGTCAGACAGTTGGAGGTTGGTTAGGTTCAGGCTGAGGTCTCCAGTATCCAGAGCGTCAGTCTTCATGGATGTTCGGCCTCTGTAACGCTGGTTTTGATCTTTCAGTTCGTCTCCTTGAAGCTGATGCTGGTGGACGGTTGGAGGACTGAGGTCGGAGCGACTCCACACCACTGTGGATTTAGTCAGATTAAAAGTGTCGACGTGACAGGGCAGGATGAACGTGTCCCCCTCATGCAGCTCCACAGCTGAGGCATGCTGGGAAACTGGGGACACACAGAAAGAGACTCCATGAGTCACTTTAAGGTGAAGATCAAGTTTAGACACATTTACAGAAACCAGGAGACAGAACGACAGAAACATTCAACATTTTAACAACTCATTAAAAAGAACACAGCGCAGATCAGAGGCAGGAAGTCCATCACATAAAAATGTCAAACTAAGTCCAAAGTCTGAAACAGTGAGAAGTTCTAACAACAACCCAACAAAGAACATTACCTCCTACATTCTGTTCCTAACTACTGTGTACACCATGTGATAGTTGCTTGTTGTAGTTCTTATGTATTTGGTGACTTATTTGGAAAGACAGGGCGAGATGTTCTCAGCATTTGTTGGTAACTGGTGGGTCAAACCCGCAAACAAAAACTTTGTCTCTATCCTGTAACTGTTCGTCTCCAAAAGCTCAGGATTACAACCATAAATAACAAAAACCATGACAGTGTGTCAGGCGCGGATCAAGGTTTGTTTAAAGAAAATATCTTTCTGACACATGCACAACTGAAACCAGCTAACAGTATTCAGGCTCCGCCCACAGCACCACAATAGTCTCTACACAATGATTTCTGTTACAGCCCAGGAGCCTAATCTTCCCATTTATGACTCAGTTACAGATCTGACAGGTGTTTGGTGGTCCAGATGTCAAAGCACACCTAACATCTGGACCATGTATTATAGATCTGTGGCTGAACAGTGGAGACAGACATTAAAGTGGAAAATAACTCTTGTCTTGTTACGTCTAATTTCTCCCACTTGTGTTTTCCTCCTGTCTCAAATTCCCTGATTACTCCACTGTGTATTTAATCCCCATGTTTTCCTTTCCCTGGATCGCGTCATGTTGTCGCTATGCTGTATGTTTGTTTCGTGCTCCTGTTAGTTGGCTAATGTTTAATTTCTAGTTTCAAGTGTGAGGTTTTGGTTGGTTTTAGTAAGTCTTTATTTTCATGAAGAGTTTTTCCCACAATACAAGCTACATTATGGGTTTAAGTCACATTTTTGAGATCCTGCATTTGGGTCTAATCCTCCCTGCCGCACAGCACGTCATGACAGAACGACCAAACCAAACAAGCGACCCAGCAGCACTCTTGCCGTCTGAGGAGCTCCAGGAGGATATTATTTACTCTGTGAATAAGTTATCTGACCTGTGGCTGGATCATTCTGAAAAGGAGTTTTAGTGAGCTGTAGATAAATGGCTACAATGCCTGGATTCTGGTCTCTCCTGGTTACCGAGTGTGCTTCACCAACTTTTGCAGCACTTTTTGCTACACACACCAGGGCCCAACTGGTCCGTCCAACGATCTTCTGTCTCCACTGGAGGTCCCAAGGGGTTGCTTCAGCCACCTGTCTCCTTTGGAGGCTCTGAGCCTGTCCAGCCATCAGCGCCGCCATCAGCGCCACCACTTCCACTACCTGCAGCAGCCATGTCCCCGGCCTTTCAGCTGCCCGAGGCTGCTCCACCTTCGTCTGGTCCTGCCTTGCCTGGTCCACCACCGTCTTTTCCTGCCTCGTCTGGTCCCGCGGCTCTCACACCGCCGTCTCGGCCAAATCTAGCACGGCCTGCTTGCCCACATCCACATCCAGCATGGCCTGCTCGTCCAAACACGGCACACCATCGCCGGCCACTTTTCCAGCCATTAGCTAAGGATCTTTGCCGTCATGGATGGCCTTCTCACCTATGTGGCCAGTGCCACTTGACCTGCGGTGGGGCTCCTGATCTGCTCTGTCATTGCCACTGACTTGCCACCCCGGGTCGGTCTTCTGCTTTGGTTCTGCTCCCAGGATTTTCAGTTTCTTGTGTTTTGTATTATTTTACATGATTTATGTTCAGTTTTTCTAGTTGTGCTGTTCAGATTATCTTTATTCAATGTTTCAGCTTAATTCTGATTATCAGTAGTAACTTAGTTCTTAGGTTTTGTTCTTTTAGTATTTAGTATTTAGTATTTATTTATTTATTGTCATTGTCAAGAACAATGAAATTGCGTTTGGGGCTTCCATACAACCCAAAAAAAAGAAGAAAATAATAAATACCCCTTAAAACCCAAGTGTACATATTTAACCCAGTGTGACTCCAATGCAATAAGACAATCCTTAGCAATAATGTTCGTAGAAATTCAGACAAAGACCTGAGAAACATGACAAAATACAACAATGCAACCCATTCAATATTATTGTACTGTGAGATATGATATCAGATATGATAGTTATCTATTTAAGAAAGAGGGGGGGGCAGGAGGGGGAAGAGAATAAAGATATGATGCACCAATGCAGACCAGTTCATTGCTATTAAGAAGTTGGATATGGTTATTGTCCGTGAGAGGGGGGCAGAGAGTTCAGGAGCCTCACAGCCTGTGGATACAGGCTGTTGGCCAGTCTGGATGTTAGTAGATCATCTCTGTTGTATTGAAGTAACTTCAGACTGTGTGAAATAATACACAGTACCACCAAAAGTGCCCTTGTGTTTACTGTAGGTTTAGTTCAGTGTCGTGTGTTTCCTGTTTTACATTGCCATGCACTTCAACACATTAAAGAGAGAGAGATGAAAGAAAAGCTGATGATGAGAGCAGAGAGAGGAAGGTGTACTTACCGTGCAGGAGGATCACAAACACCACAAACATCTTCATGTTCCTGTCAAACTCAGAGACTCTTTAAAAGCCCTTCAGGACATCAGCTCACAGCAGCTTCACTTTCCTCTGCTGATCATCTACTGACACTCTCACACTGCTGTCACAGCTCAGAGTTCAGCTTCACACTTTGTTAAAGCACATCTGTGGAATGAAGTCCGGCCGGCCACAGATCACTTCTGAGGAAAGAGGAGGACGTCGGCTTTCCTCGTAGTTTCACGCCCGAGCGCTCCGGGTGGAGGCGGCTGCTGCGGCCTCACCCTGACACGCACAAAGCTCCGCCTCCAGTCCTGACGCTGAAACATCCACTGTAGCTACAATGATGCAGATGTGACCCTCAGCAGCTGGATTTCCTCTCCATAGATGTGTTTCCATGCAGATCATGGACATAAAGCAGCTCCAGGATGAAGAGTGTGAAAGAACTTCTTCCACTACAGTATTCATTACAGCACTGTGGCACTCCACAAACCCTCACACTGTCTCAATCCCTGTTTCCAGTTTGACTGAGAGAAGGCCTGAAGCTCAGCCAATCACAGGACAGCAAGTGATCAGCTGACACAGTGATTTGAAGGTTGAGCTGTCAGGGTGAGGCTGCTTCGTGCAGGTGTGAAACTATGAGGAAAACTGACAAAGCGAAGAGTCTCAAAACTACACAAACACAGGTGTGTATCAGGTGACTCATGAGTGTATTTAATGTTCTATCAGTGAGTGAAAAGAACATGAAAGAGGACAGGAGAGGAAGAAGAGAGCTTAAATTTAAATGGAAGGATGCTTATTTAAAGCTTACATCTAAGTCCTCATGTTCTCTAATCAAATATTGGATCTGTACATGTGACATCATGTTTTTCCACATTGTGAAACCTGCTGCTAACTGGGTTATTTAAAGACTACATGTAAAATCCTCTGCAGGCTAGGGCAGGATAAACAGGTTAGTTTACTCGTGTTTACTGTGATGTAAATCCATCACAGGATTTAGAGTAAAAACAGTGTGTGACTAGTGCAGAGTGGCTATGAATTAATGGTCACAGTTAGCTTACATCAAATGTAGCAGAGATTGATATGAACGTTAGCTGATGATGATTCCCTGACTGAATTCGCCCTTCATAGCAACTTTATACCATCTAGAAAACAAACAGCATAAACGGTGTGCAGCCAGTAAACAGACAGAACAACTCATGAACACTAAGAAAATCTACTGAAGCTCTCAATAGAAATTATTGTGAGTTTAAATTCTTTTCCACTGAGACATTACAGCTAATTTTAGGTTCCCCCACCTGTTGATTCCACATTACCTGACGGCACACATTTATTGTTTAGAGGCAAAGTCACCCTCTACAATGTAGGAAATAGAGATGTTTTTTTTTTAATTTATTTATTTTTTTTGTTTTATTTTCCTTACTTTTCCTGCTCATGCTCATACTTAACTGATTCAAGCTTAACTGATTGGTTACAATTCAATTTTAGACTGAAATAAATCTTTGTATTTCCATCTACTTGTCTTATCATTATGTTAATAAAGCACAAGGTTCGGTTAGCTTTGCACAAATGTCCTCCAAAGAGCTACTTTTACTTTCTTTCTTTGAGTATTTCAGAGCCTCTACTTTTTTACTTTTACTCGAGTAAAGAAGTTGAATCAGTACTTCAACTTTTACTGGAGTATTTTTAACACTAGTATATGTACTTCTAAAGTAAAGACATACGTTTATTATACTAATTAGTATTAGTCACAAGGAATAACCCCAATGAAAACATATTTATTTTAGTTTTTCCTTTTAAAAAAGCCACGCCCACCACACATCTACTTAACCTGTTCATCTGGCTCACCTGGCTGCAGAAAAGCCTCGCCTGGTGTTTTTCCAGTGTGACACTGATCCATTTCAGCCTTGACACAAAAATCTCCTTTTAAGTAATGTACTGCATTACTTTAAAAAAAAAGTCTTCTGTGTAATATGTGTCATAACTTTTTTACTTTACTTTTTTGAGTAAACACTGATCACAACTAGGGATGGGTACCGGTATCTGACATAAACGGTAGTAACCAGACCGAAAAGCAGCGCACATTACAGGTACGTACATTCTTTTAAAGCAGAGCTACAGATTAAAAATGCCCAAGGCGAAGCGGTCAAAAGTCTGGCTGTACTTCACAGCAAAAGATGCAAACTCAGCAGCAACAATTGCTTTAAGCTGATACTGTGCAAAGGAGGTAACACCTCAAATCTGATGAAACACCTGGCGACGCATAGCGTTTTTTTAAAAGCCGAAAAATGCGCCGTATTTGATAGCTTGCTGCGAGACCTCACACAGAGCACATCTACTGCGGGTGTGGTGCCTGTTATCGGACCTGGAGTTAGCAACATCCCCCAAAAACCCGAAGAGGAGAGTCCTGGCCCCTAGCCCTGCCGGTGTAGCAGAAATGATGAGGATGATGATGCAGCAGCAGCCGTTCTTCTCTGCGTGAGTAGCTTAATGTTGTTCATGTGTAATTTACGTTGAGTAGGCTAACCACGTTATTACATTAATGCATGTAAGGTGAACTAGCAAACACCGTCGTAGCTACATGCAGCTGTCTTCTTGTTTGATGGCAGATACTCCCTTTACCCTGGCCAAGAAGGCAAAAAAAAAAAAAAAAGGAAAACAGCTGAACATGAGAGGTTTTAGGACAAAGTTTGTGTTTTTTCCATTGTTTAATCACTGCTTCCAGCCCAGAGTGATACCATATATGCCCTGTAGCTGCAGAAAAGGCTAACATTGTTATCTTTTCACAAAAAACAGCTGAACATGAGAGGTTTTTGGACCAATTTTGTGTTCTCCATTCTTTAAGCACCGGTTTGAGCACCGTTTAAAACCTAAGCGATACCCATCCCTAATCACAACAAACATGGAAACATCTCAAACATGGAAAAACATTTGACCCACAGCATGTATTTAATGTGCATGAATGTAATGTCTTTGATAAGTTGCTTAGAGATGGTGGTGACTCTCTGTGTTGTGTTAAATTATGTATTTTTCATATAATGTAACGTCCTGCAAAACAAACTGAGTTATACTTACTTTGTGGTTTTTGTTTTTTTTGTTTGTTTTTTTTGTTTTTTTTTTGTGTGTTTTGTGTTTGTTGTTTGAATGTTGCATGAAAATACTGGGTACTTTTGTGCAGGATAAACTGTTAAGTCTGAATTAATGTGGTGCATTCACAGTACAGAGCAGTGTGTGACTGCGGTGCAGAGTGTCTGTGGCCTCATGGTCAGGTTTATGTTGCATTAAGTGTAGCAGAGATTCATATGAATTTTAGTTTATGATGATGAGATTCAGTCACTGAGCACCAAGTTTATAACAGAGTACTTCAGTGTAGGAGATGTTCATCAGTATAAAAATACACAATGCAGTTAGCAGCTGACACGCTGATGATGCTCAGTAGATCTGATCTTTGTATCTGGATTTATTTGACAGGGACAGTGTTCATGTTCAGGGACATCAGGATAAAAACAGAAGATGGAAACCTGCCAGATTTGAGCTAAACTGCTCATTTCCATGTGTCGTCCCTGGGCAGGTCACATGACTCTATCCAACATACAAAGACACACAGACACACAAGAAAAGCCAGAGAAACAAAGACAAATCCAAACGATCCATCATCCTGAGTCAAAGTGATCACAGGTCTGCTTTGTTGGAGATGAGCCTTCAAAGTGGAATATGTGCACTGTTCCTTTATTACTACCACTGAAGGCCACGCCCCTCTGGTCATGTGATCAAGTGGTTTGTAGGACGCTCCTCTTCCTCAGAGGATCCACCTGTGCTTCCTCTCCTCTCTCCTCCACCTGTTACAGTGAGGGAACGTCCTCCATGATGGAGGAGCTGCTGGAAAGTGCTGAGAGTTTCCTCCAGAGTGAGACCTCTGTCACAGTTCAGAGGATCTACGGCAGCAGAGACCTTCATGGACACTAAAAGTCTCAAACACACAACAACAACATCACACTGACTCCACTCTGACATCACTGATCAATAATCAAAGAACACACAGATCAAACTGATTGATCAGCCATCAGAGGAGTCGGATCAATGGAGCTGCTTCTGTTCCTGATGTCCCCTGTTTGATCCTGGACCTGAACTCTCCCTGCAGAGGAGACACAACACAGTCAGAGACACACACACACACACACACACACACACACACACACACACACACACACACACACACACACACACAGACACACACACACACACACACACACACACACGCACAAGCACAAACCTTTAACTTTGAACTGCACTGTTTTGAATCTTATCCAGATGTTCTTGCTCTGAACTCCACAGATGTATTTCCCACTGTCTCTCTCTGTGGGCTGTTTCAGGGTCAGACTGAGGTCTCCAGTTTTCAGCAGGTCTTCATTCATCTTCGTTCGGTCTCTGTAAACCTGGTGCTGTTCATCAGGCTGGTCAGAGCCGTTCTCATACACGTGGACATCTATTACTGGTTCAGGGTCATAGCGTACCCACTCTACTGCAGCATCTCCAGGCAGGTTTTGTGTGGTGTTGAAGGGCAGCTGGACAGACTCCGCCCCCTCCTCCACCTCCACCTGACACACTGAGAGGACAACAAACACAACATGAGCTGTACAAAGTGTGATTGGTGTTCAGAGCAGCATCATGTGACTCTTGTTCTGCACTAAATGAAGCGATGGAGTGGCGCCTCCTTCAGGCAGAGAAACAGCTCTTGCCCAAGGACACAACGACCGGGACTGTCCAAGCCGGGGCTCGAACCGGAAACCTTCCGATTACAAGGCGAACTCCCAAGGAAGACAGCACGAGAAATGTTGGGGATCATTTTCAAGTGATTGACAATGAATGCAGTACATCAGTTATTGTTCATTATGTTGTTGATATGTATATGCAAAGATGGATGTTTAAATATTCTTTATAAGACACCTTTGAGTTTATGTTAGCTTAACCACTGTTGCTGTAATATAGTTGCCCTAATGGCCGCTTATTTGCAACACTGTCTATTAACTCATTCACTGCCATTGACGTCTATAGACGTCAATTGAAAGCATACGTTTGAAAATGGCTGGCAGTGAATGAGTTAAGGTGACAAAAA